TTGCAGACTTGGAGCCACAGAACTTTGAACCTGATAGTCGGCAGGATTCATCCTCTGGGAACAGTGATGCTGACGGCAGTTCTTCTAACAGTCACAGTTACCCAAAAACTATTCCTCAGTATTTCAGTTCCAGAACATCTGACAGATGGATCTTATATGTTCACTTTAGATCCTGTTCTGGTGAGAAATCCTCTGTTTCCTTCACTTTCTGCTGCTGCTTTACTCGACATTCATCCTCTGATCGAGCAGCTTCTGTTGCCTGGAAACTGCCAGAAGGTTTTCCTGTTTTTATCAGAGACACGAGAGCTCGGGGGATGTGAAGAAACATGATTTAGTGGATTGTGATGAAGCCTTCTGCACCACTTTGTTCCTTTTCTGCATCAGTTTATGGTGGAAATGTCTTCATGAGGTCAGTTCAGGGGTTCATTCTACGTAGAACAGAACATGAAGCAGTGAGACTCTCTGCTTTCTGGATTGATTTACGACATTTCTCCTCCTGCTGAGTCACGTCTAAACTGGATTCACTCTCTGTGTCTTTTGTTTGGCTGCAACCTGTTCACATGAATTCGTTTAATTAACTCAGAAGCTCCTGAACTTTCAACGTGTTTCTTCACATTCACAACATTTCACACAAATCTGTGCGACGGAGCTGCAGATGTTTTCACTGTTGTTCTCTGGATGAATCGGTTCATCGTTTAGTCTCTAAAATGTCATAAATGTGGATCAGAGTTTCCTCAAATGTCTTAGTTTATCTAAAGGTCTTTAGTTTACGGTCACAGAGGAGCAAAGAAACCAGAAAATATTCACATTTAAGAAGCTGGAATCAGAATTAATGAAGTTTTAATAACCAGCATAGTTGGATATTAATTTAAAAGCTGATATCTAATCGATGAATTGTAGCCGCTCCAGTGTTGATGTGTAAAGAGAAAAGTCTTGTTGTGTCTGTGCGTGAGCATGACAGCTGTTTTTCACAATAAAAGTCTGTCTCTGTTTCTTCCTGCATCCCTGTGGTTCTGAGCTGACTGGTACCTGACGTGGTGTTGGCGAGGCGAGTGCCCGTGGATCTGAAGACGATGCTCGGGATGAGGACGAACCCAGCGATCAGCAGGAAGGACAGGAAGTTCAGAACCACCAAGAATCGCAGGAACAGGAAGTAAGACTCGACGCCGCCTCCAAAGTTTCCTGTGGAGGAAAAAGTTCACCTCAAAATATTCTGCGTGGAGTTTACAGTGTGTTCAATATGAAGCCTCGTCTCTCTTTCCTTTTTAAAAATCACCAAAATGTTTAAAATGATCAGAAACTGTGAAACAGAAAAAGTCCACAGAAGATGTCAAGAACAGATCGTGTGTGACGAGATGTTCTGTCAGGAAC